CTATAGTGTCTTCCCTACTGAACAGACCTGTTTTGAATTGCCATCTTTTTCAGCATCCTTAACAAGAATACTCCCTGCAGCAGAATCAAAGACTTACTTGACAAATTCTCTAGACCTCTGCAGTTGTTGACATTACACAGTTTACACACTAAATAGATCTTACAAAAATCAAAATTTATTTTTCAAACAAAAAAATCCTTGAATTTTGCTGCATCTAAAATGAAGAACCTCCCTTTAAATCTATTCCTCTAGGCACTAGTTCAGTATGACTCAGAAAAATATTCCTTACTGAGTCATTAGTACCTGCTTAACCTGATAATCAGTGTTTCAAGCCAATGCAGTCTGATTACACTGTAACACTAAACTGGAAAACAAATAAACAAGATGGTCTCAGTGCAGGATGCCCCACTGCCTCCAGCTAATAGTAAACTGAACTAATAACCAATATTCATTGATCACCTGTGGTAGACAGAGCAAGCATGACACTAATTGCCAAGAAAGACTCCAGTCTTACAACTAAGAAAACATGCCTTAGTCACAAAGCTTCCCTATTTGTCTCAGCCCTGCCACAACCTTATCTCTTTACATCTGTGCCAATTTCTTCAACCTACCAATAGAAAAGGGTAGTTTTAAGTTAGCAGAAAGACATCCAAGAGTTGACTACACAGCAAAGAAATAGTATACACAGATCTCTACAATCAAAGCACATATATAGGACCTTCCACTCAAATAAAACTGCTGATTCTCAATTGTTCCTAAGGGAATTTAAAAGATTGAAGAGAATTTACTTAGGTCAAAGAGGCCAAGGAATTAAAAAGGCATGTCATGGCAAGCACTTAGAGCTGGTAACCACAATAAACTATTATTTGAGCTAACTTCCTTGCCCCGTATTTAAGACCCTCTCCCCCCCAACCATTTTAAAAGGTTATGTTTTTACTATATATGTAATACCATACTATTGTTGGTCTAACCCTAAATACACTGGTATTTGTGTTTTGCAATTAGAATTTATTTTGTAGTGGCGTTAACAAGTTTGCCCAAACTCCTTTACCCAAAACCCTACCAAGTTGATCCTTAGGGAACAGACCTAACATAAGGCCAAAACAAACAGAAGAAAATCAGCCCAGGAACTTCCCAAGGAAGGTCTAACCCCTCAGCAGGTGTGGATGAGTAACTGATATAATTCTTAAAACTCTCAGAAAGACTACATAACGCTTTCATAACATCTGCTTGGATCGGTCTCATATTTGTGGACATTTTTTTAAAAATCCATAATTATTTTAAGTAGAGAATTACATTTCTTTCCACTCAATTGAGTAGTATTTACTGTGAAGAAGTCATTCATTAGAAATTATACAGTGATTCCAAGGTATTGCTATTCTTTAAAACATTTCTGGAAAAAATCTGTCTTATAAGCCATACCAAAAGAAAGTCAAGACTTTTTAGAAATATAAGTTGCCTTTGAATAAAAAAATAGCATTACTCTACTTGATCAACTATTTTATTTACAACTGCTCAGAATCACTTTCATACCATCAAATTGACTCCTACCCTCCCTTTTGAAGTAAATACGAAGCTACTAAGGCCCTGAGAGTCCAAAATCACATAGAATTAAGCATGAAAGGTAGTACTCAAAGCCTGTATGGTACAGTAAGCAGATTTTAAATTTATAAATGTGATTTCATGAATTTTAATAAACGCCTGGCAGAATACATGTTTTCCTATTCAGAGATTCATTCAGATTCAAATAGTCTTAACTGAACCACTGCTGGGCACCAGGAATGGTGCTAGGCACTTTCACTAAGATTATTAAATTTATATCCAATTCTAGGATAGCACAATCTTTCAAGATGGCTAGGGTAACAAGTGAGAAAAATCACTAAGAGAAATCTTTCAACTACTATAGCTTCTCCTGTGTTCCACAAGGCTAAGAGAACAAGTCTATACCCATCAAATTGAACCTCATACCTGCTCTACAGTACAGATGGCCTCAGAAAGGCAGACACCACCTAAAAAGCATGTAAAAACTGAGTCAGAAACTGGGATATTTAGCCTAAAGATGTGAAGCCTTAACCGGGAATGGGGAAAGGCATGAGACCCTCTTTTAGTTATATTTTGCTTCCTTCCTACAGTAACCAACAAGACTAATTTAGAGCCTATAGAGAAGTAGAAATGTCAAAACTTGAACTTAGCTATTTAGTAAGGTACACCTACCAATGTAGTATATTCTAGGTAATAAGAAGTACTTAATAGTCATATTGATGGGGCTGGCTGGTTAGCTCAGTTGGTTAGAGCATGGTGCTGATAATAGTCATATTGATGCCTTCCCAAAAAACCACCTAGCAACTGATGCTGAATATGAACTGTCACATTACCTGAGCATAAGAGCAACATAACAGGAAATAGGATATAGGCCATAAAATAGGATAGAATGGGAAGGGGCAACCCCATAAGCTCGATACAGGGTGCTCCTTTTACAATTTTATACTCCCTATAATTTCGGATACCACTGATTTTCAACTACTACTAGAACATCTGAATTTGCTATCCCTGAATATCAATAAAGACCTTTGTTGTTTAAGACAGATGTTTTGTGATAACCTAGACCTCTATGCCTACAGCCTAGAGGTGGACAAGATATCTTCTCTCTTATCAAGGTCACTTTGGCCTGATGATTTTCTTGAAAGGTTCCAAATGATTTGTTATATATATTTAATACTCACAGATATAATACTTATGGTATTCTTTTAGGTTAATGTACATAAAATCTTCATGATGTAAGATATTTTAAATCTCTAATTAGAATGGAAATAAGAGAGTAAGCAAAATAAAAATCTAGAGAAGAAATACTGCCCCTTAATTTGAATTACAACAAGAGTATTGTTTTATCCCTGCACAAGGACAATGCCTGCATATATCCAAGTTGTTTGGAACTCAATTTTACACATTAAACAACTTCTTCAGAATATTGGTTTTTATATGCCAAATACCACCCTAGGGTTCCCCAATAAGAATTAATGCTAACTTTGAGGTATTACATCATATACTGAGTCATATTACTTACAGGACCATATTCTAGGAATTTTCCAATTTGTAAAAGGCAATTGTAATCCTTGCTTTTGCAAGACATGGCAAAATAGGCACTCTAATATAGTGCTGAGGGAGTGGAAATTGGTAATTTAATAATATATACCAAAATTATAAATGCATAAATCCTCTGACCTAAATCTTCTACTTCTAGGAATTTGTCCCACAGGTGGAAATGTGTGAAATGCCATTTTACAAAGTAATTTACTGCAGCACTACTTATAAGAGCAAATTTCTGAAAACAATCTTAATCATTTGGGGACTGGTTAAATAAATTATGATATTTCCATACAATGAAATGCCATGCAGCCTTAAAAAAAAGAAAAAGAAAGCTCTCTTTGTCTTAACATTAAAAAACAAACAAACAAAAACCTCCAAGGTATAGTAAATGCAAAAACCAAAGAGCAGAATATATAGTATTCTGTGATATGTGTAAAAAAAGGGATGGGAGTGAGTAAGTAACTGATATATATATATACATATAATATCTCTAGAAGGACCCCCAAGAACATTACTTACCTAGGGAGTGGGGTTAGATGGGTTGGCAACACAACAAAAGGCAGATTTTTTTAACTCCATATTTTTAAAAATTTTGAACCATGTAAATGTACTGCTTGGTTAAAACATTAAATTTAACCAACGTATACTGCATTTAAAAAAGACAGTATTTTACAATTTACACATCATGAAACAGTATAATCTCAGAAGATTATACTGTAATTAAACATTATCAATTAGTGTAACAATCTTTGCTATTCCTTCTATTAAAACACCCACCAGTCCATCCCTAAATTTATTATTATATAGTCACAAAGAGCCAGAAGGGTCTTTAAAAAATCTGAACCTCTCCATTTACAGATAAGAAGACTGGCCAAAAGAGGCTAAATAACCTCCCCAAAAGAACACAAATAGTAGGTGGCAAAGTATGACCTACAACCTGACTCGAATTCCAATCAACTGTCAAATATTTCTCTCACCTCCAAACTGTTTCTTAATTACCACAAGAACTAGCAAGTGTCAACCAAGATCCTAGTTGCATTTTGAGGACAATATGAATGATGGAGCTAGTGTGAGCTGACATCCTATCTCTGTGAGATACTTTTCAATGTTTACAGAAGAATCAGAAGGGATATGTCTTGCTTCCCAACTGGGTTATGTTTTAGCAAAGTGCCAAGAATAGTTAAAGCCATAGGATAAACATGGGGTGAGGAGTGGGGCGCCCTACAAAGTCGATTATACAGTACTAGAAAATTTGAGAAAAATGTTAAACAATTTAACAGTCAGGTAATTAAAAATTACTTTTATATTAAAACAAACACCAATGTATTGTGGCACAGAACATAGAATATACATAAATATATAAGGTAAACAGGACACTTTCAAAGAAGTTTCAAGCTGCTTCTCATTGAGTCTGACCACAGGGGTTTAGAAGTACACACATTCACTCTCTTAAATTCTTAAGAGGCAGGAGGTTTGAGAACTACTACACCAAGGGAATTAAAATAGTGTTCTCACTGGAAGTAGAAAGAAGGGTTAGAGCTAGACAGACCTGAATATGCAACCTATTGTTACCACTTAGATCAGTTACTTAACCTTGAGCTCAAAACCTTGGTTTCTCCATCTGTAATATGTAGTCAATATTACTTACCTTGTAGTTTTATTACAAGGATGAGAGATACTATGTTTTAAGCAAACTGCCCAGACCCTCAAAGGACTATAATAAATGATGGCTACTATTATGGCCATCACAAACCTATCAGAATCTTTGTCTGTCTAACCATTTATTTGGCTTCAATTTGTGAGAACAGGATAAGGCAGGCAATAGATATTTATAAGCTCTCCCAACCAGCCACAGAAAGAAAATAGGCCAATGGGATAAAATTACCTAAGTGAACACTGCTTATTATACTCACATATTTCATTTCAAACTTCTTAGCCAACATTTCCACTTCTCGCCTCTCCTGATGCTCGTCATTAAATGGGTCTTCTGTATGAATGAGCTTCTTCTGATTCAAACAGAATGGGGAAAAAACCAGAAGTATTATTATTACTACAACTATCATTATTATAAATTTATTGTTGTTACATATCAATTACTTCAACTACATTTCAATATAATTGAATATATATTTACATTCAATAATAAACACATTCTATATTAAATGTTATATAATTACTTTAATTATATTATTATTATTCAGAGTTGACTATATTCTTAAATTTAATTAATAATGGGAGTCCATTTTTCCTGAGACTAACAAAAAAGTCAGAAGCATTAAAAGTAACAAAAAAGAAATGTTGGTCGGTAGCAAAAAACATTAGCAGTTTCAATGGACTCTTATACATTTTACAGTTTCATGGTGGCTAAGAACTTAACAATACAAATTGTCTCCACCTGCAAAATAATCATATCGTCACCCTGTTCAAAATAACAAGGGAATGTTGGGAGGGAGGGGAGAGAGGGAGGAGGGAGGGAGGTGTCGGTAATGGGCCACAATATTCAACCACATTGTATATCGACAAAATAAAATTAAATTAAATTAAAATTAAAATTAAAAAGTATATAATAACAAGGGAAAAAACCCACAAACATTAGGTAAAAATGAAAATCCCACTTATAATCCTATGATATTTTCCTTAACAAAGGTTATCTGCTTTGGTCAGGAAATGCTTCTAAAAGGATCTCTGGATTATTAATTAGAGTCAAAGTTTAATCATCTGCCTGTGAGTTATCACTCGAGTACCTGTAGCTGCTACAGCTTTCTGCTGAGAGCCAGTATCAACAACCTCTATATCACCTACATCCTGTCAATGGATATCCATTCAGGGAATACAAACTACTTTTAAACAAAGCTAGAAAAGGGAAATAGGTACAAAAAGATTACATTATGATGGCTTCCTTCTAGTAGGGGAGAGTGAAAGTTTATTATAATATGGTTTTTAAGAAAACACATACACAGAGCTAGGATCCCACATTTAGCATCTATTTACCAAAACAAACAAACAAAAAGATAAATCACATGCTTTACTCAAGTTTACTGTTTTAGCAGACAGTTTATATATATTATTTTTCAATACGCACACAAAAAAAACAAGGAGCTACTTATGGATAAAAATACCATTTTCATCTGATTTCACACTATTGACTAGAAAATAAAAAAAAGAAGGCTATGTTTACTGAAGAACCATCTTCAAGTAATTAAAAATGAAAATATATTACAGCTGAAAAACTGGATACAGATTCAGCTGACCCTGAAAGGCAAGAAAAAAATGCAGAAGGGATGAAGGTTTGCACACTTTGGGAGACACTTCACTCTTATAGGTCTGAATCTGATCAGTCTAAAACACATAACAAAAATATGGACAGAATGAATACAAAACAATTCATCATACCTGGGACATTAGCATAAAGGGATACTCCTTAAAGCCTAAAAGAGTTAACTTAGAATCAATTTTTTAAATTATTAGAATAAGTAATAAACTCATAAGATCTTTATTGCAATAGCATTACCAATGCAAAATATAAACATGATCCAAAAGGAAATAAACCAGTAAGAACAGACTGATAAGGAAATAAGGAATACAAGACATTTCAGGATATAGCTTTAACGTGAGGCCAGAGTTAAGGACAGTGAGCAATCACCATGCCTTCTTATTATAAACTGTTACCTCATGTCACTATGAAATCTAAATAATAGGTATTACTATTTTATATTTACATATATGAACACATAGATCTATATTTTTAAAAAGAATCACCTTATATGCTATTCTAAAATATTTTACGTATTTTATACAGGCATCAAAAGTACATCTCTTATTTACGCTTGACAGTCTATAAAATAAATTTAAGAAAACAGACTCACTTTTCTTTTACAATTAAGAATAAACCCCCTGCCCCAATCAAGACTAAGTAGTCTTCTTTACATTTTTTTCAGGTAAAATAAAAATCTGAAAATTACCAACTACCCACATGAAGAACTGATGCAATAATTTTGTCCTTTGATTTTAACTCATTAACACCATTTTCAGGAGATCTTTCATACACCTTATCCAAAATATGCAATATGACAAGCAATGGAATACCACAGAATTCTGAAATAGTAAAGTTATATTAATACTATAATCACTTATTTTTCTTTTTACAGTAAATGTTCAATTAATCGTGTTTGTAAATGGGTGTTCTGGTTAACCTATTTTCTCATTTACTAAGTGCTAATTTTTTTCTTGTGTATCAATCCCTGCCAAAACTTATTTCTAAAATGCACTATTACCCTTTAGCCAGAAATGGTAAACAAATTAATCTTTCAGGATAGAGATGATTCCAATGCCTCGTTCATCATCCTGAACCATCTCAATCATGGCACAGTACTTACTGTATAGAGATAACAAGGTTAAGGGTTTAACTAACCTGCACCTTGACAAACTGGAACGTGGTTTTGCTTTTCACATTTTGCCAACATATGCTTATTTAATTAGGCTTTTCTTCATTAATAAAAAGAGTTAAAAAAAATTCTGATTGTGTCCCATTTAATCAGGGTTTTATTGCTCATTTAGTCTTTATGAAAGGGGCTGATTTAAATGCACCCCACTATAGATGGTATTCACACATAACACATCTTTTTATAGCCCTGCATCTATCAACTTCAGGATCTGGAGCTGAAATCTTATTCAATGATAGATGGCTATTTCAAAAATTTAGAGCCTTTTTTCTAATTGTACAAGATCTCTTTTCTTCCCTTTCTACTGTCAGCCCGCTACAAGGTACATTGCTCAATTACAATAACTGAAAATTACAAGTATTTTGAAAATATTACAACATTCCTAAAAATAAACTGGCTATCCCTCAGGAAGAGGGAAGAAAAGCCAAATTTGGAAATCACCACTTTCCAGACCAATTCTAAAGTTCACATTTTGCTTTTTGATGGTCTGTCTTCTAGGATTCCCTTTCATGGAACTATGACAATTTACCTAAAAACACTTTCTTATATAATAAATACATTCACTGGGAGTAATCATAGGAAAATCTGGCAAATTTCTGTTGCAAAGGTGCATGTATAAACAATGAATTTTTTGTTCAGTGAAATATGACAAAAGACATAAGGCTAAATATAACAAGAAAATCGGAACAATAAATCCCTAAATCAGCAGTATAAACAAAATTAAATAGAATTATTCATCTTTCTCCTATTACATGAAAATAGTAGTTCTGGTATTATCAAATCAACAAAGCTAAGGTGTCAAAATAAACTTTTTTCTTTTTTATAATGAAAAGATACATATCTATTATTAATTTATCATGGTATTAATATTACAGCATAAAGAGGGTCATAATGGAGGTCTTTGTATTTCTACTATGACTCATTTAACTTCATTTTGGCAGGATCATCTAAATTTAAACTACACAAGTTAACTGTAAGAAATCTTCCTTAATTAAGAATTGGTACTACTATGGAAGGAAGTACTAATAAAATCATGTATAACCACTCTGTGTGTTAGCCATCTCATTTGAAAAAAGGAAGTAATAGTTCTTACCTCATGGAGTTCTGCTGGACTAAACTAGATAAATCATGTACAGTGCTTAGAACTGTGCCCTACATAGTAGCAACTCAGTAAAAGTTAGCTATTACTATATATTTTTAACTAGAGATAATTCTTTTCACCTGTAATTTATGAAAGTTACAAAAACCGCAAACCTACTTAGATTAGGAGGTCAAATACAATGTATTTGAAAAATGCTCCAATCCAAATTTTCAATACTCTTTTAGGGAAAAAAATGACATCACAATTATAAAAAAGAGGGGCACTAAAGTGAGTCTAAAGGGCAAAATGTTGTGTGGAAGTTACCAAAATGATTTCTATCCTTAACAACTCATTTTGGTTGAAAATACTTAGTAATGATTTGATCGCACAGCAACATTTATAAATAACTATTACAAAATTAGCTAGCCATAAAATAAACAAAATCTAGTTACATAGTTTAACATGATACTTTTTGACTAAGGAGTCATACATTTCAACTATAAACATAGCTGAGGATAAAAACAAAACAAGTGACTTCTGGTATCCATTAGACCTATGCTAAAGCAAAATCTAATAAAGGGCACAATCGCTAAACAATAAAGGAAACTGTTCTCTTTTTTAACTGTTACTTTACCATTTCCCTTTCTAACTTACTTCTAAGAGCCACCAAACCACAACAATAAAAATTACAATTACCAACAAACCCCTGTCCTATTTCCATTGTTTACCAGTTCCATCAAAGGCATACCTACATATTTTCAATAAAGTTTTTAAAATTCAAAGCTAAGATTTTTTCAACATTCTCCAAAAATTACAATGGGCAGGTACGATATTCTCCAAATCGGACCTATACACTAATGATATACACTCAAATAAGGATAGGATAGGCAAGCACAAAATAAAACAGGAGACGCCTTCCCATTCAATTACAATATGAACAAAATCCACAAAAAAAAAAAAAAGATGAAAAGGGTTACCAATACCAACGCGGGAGAGAAAAATAAGTAACCAGATATCTAACCCACTTCTGCATTCCTAAAGTGGAATCCTTAGTCTCTGAAAATGTTTACTCCTAAATCCCCTTCAATTAAGAAAAATACCACTCGCACGCGAGCTCCTCTCAGCAGCCTAGGCGCCCCAGATAACAAACGTGAGCAGCGGTGAGGGTGATACGAGAGGGGTTACACGATCTCTCCGCTTCAGATTGGGGGGCGTGTCCCCCAAGCTTTTCTCTTTCTACTGGAACGACAGCTGGGGCGCCACCAGAACCCAGCCACACAGCTTGCGGGGCCCCAAGATTTTGAGTGGGGAGCAGAAAAGAAGGGAGGAAAATCTGAGGTTTCGAAAGGTGCAGAGGGAAACAGGCTCAGCACAGCCGGGTGGGAGCCTCGGCCACCCCGGGGAGCAGAGCAAAACAGTGCTCACCGCCCCGTCCACCCGCTCGGCCCCTGCCCCATCCCCCCCACCCTCGGGGCGACCGGGACGCGCTCGGTGGGCGTCCGAAGGTGCAAATCAGCCGGGGGAGGCGGCGGGTCCTGAGGCTCCCGGGGTCTGGGGCAGGAGGGAGGAATCTTCTGTACCCGTTGTTCTCCGCACAGCAGCAGCTCCGGGTAACTGAACTCCACGCAGCTTTCATCGGTAGGGTCCTTGAGCACCAGCTCCAGGCGCACCGTCTCCCGCGGCGGCCGCGGCGGCTGCTCAGCCCGGGAAGCCGACTCCCGCGGCGGGGACGACTGCAAGGGCAGCTGCGGGAGCGGCGGCGGCGGCGG